CACACGGGACCAGCAAGGACTCTGGGGGATGTAGTCTGGCTGTGTCCCAGAAGTAGGTTAAACTGCTTGATAATCAGCTGGTGGGTTTCCACAGTCAGAGCCACCGGAATAGGGACCTGCCTAGTGGGGCAAAGGGGTTAAAGTGCAGCACTATGAAGCTTTCCACGGCCACTGCAGCACAAATTTGATCCCTGCCGGCGAGGTGACACACATGGCAAGGCAAATGTCTCCTATCTTGCCTGTTGCTCCCCTCAGCAGTGTATTTCAATCAATCTGCCTGTTCTGCTCCCCACTCTGTCTCTGTGAATCTTCTCACCACTGCACCTCGGGCCTGTATCCCAATTTTATATGCATAAATAGAAATAAAACTTAAAAAAAAAAGACACCAGAATAGCCCTTCAGCGTTTCAGAATTTTAAATAAAATGTTCAATTTGGGTTTGTTTTGTTTTGTTGTTTTTTTTCGTTTTAGATTCCTCTTCCATGTCATAAAATGCATTTATTTGTTCCAGGTTTATGGTCAATGCAAAGCATTATTATATATGCACAAGACAGCAAGAATTCTTCAGACACTTTCTTAAAACTGTACTCTTCACCCAGGTAAGAGATTAATTTGATTTTGTTTATTTTATTAAAATTTAGACAAAAGGGGACCTCCCTGGTTGTGCAGGGGATTGAGGCTCAGCACTCTGAAGCCATCCATAGCCACTGCATCATGAGTTTGATCCCAGCCAGGAGCTGGCCCACATGGTGCAGCAGACCTCTGCTGTCTCACCTGCTACTCCCCTCAGCAGTGTATTTCAGTCAGTTGGCCTGTTCTGTTCCTTACTCTGTCTCTGGAGAGTCTTCTCATTTCTTTCTTTCCACCTCTGGCCTGTACCTCAGTTCTTGTATGCATAAAAATAAATCTAAAAAAAAAAAAAAAGAAGACATGGACAAAAGGCATTTAACATGTGTTATTACTCAGTCACATGGGACCATGTAAGGAGAAATAGCTTAAACTACTTATAATCAGCTGGTGGTTTCCTATTGTCAAAGCCATCAGAATAGGGCCCTGCCTGGTAGTGCAAAGGGTTAAAGAGCAGACCTGAAGCTCTCACAGCCACTATGTAGGATTGTTCCTTTCCTTGCTATCTATTCACTCCACAACCACATTCCCATATATACAGCACTGGAACATCCCACCATCTGCGATAATAATTACTCAGAATTGGGACTGCAATGCTGAAATCCTAACTCCTGGTCTGATACAAACGTCCTAATTTCTACATCGGGTGCCAGCTGGCCTTTCTCGCCATGTGTGCAGAGATTCTCTCCGACCCCACCACACTGTACTCCACATAGCTGGGTGCCTCCCTGTTTTCTGAACACACCTGATAGACTCAGTTGTGGAACTCATGACCATCTGTGAGGACCACTGACATAGTGTTCTCTATTCAAGAAATATGGGTGCTGTCCTCTCTACGTCCCTGTAAACCTTTAACCTGACCATTCCTGGAGCTCACACCATGCCCTGCCTTGTTCTAGAGGCTTAGCTCATATATCATGGAAACTTCATGTCTTCTTGCTGCCTGCTACCACCCTCCTTATTCCTTTCATATATATTAAGTATACTATGATGGCTAAATAATGAACAAATGTCCTAAAATGATGCTACAAGTCATGATATTTGATATATGTAAGTGGGTGCGTTCTGGGTCCTGCTTGAATAAGCAGCATTCAGCACCTGGGAGGCAGGTTATGACCACTTATCATGATATTACGCACATGTGATTCCCCTGGGCAGTCATATTCAGGTGCAATTTCTGAGTCCCTAAGTCTGGGGTGAGACATAGACCCTACATTTCTCAACAAATCCGGGTGATAACTGTTTTGCATTTTTCTTGAGGGACAATGCAATCAAGCAAATCCATTATTTACCACCATCTAAGCTTCCTGGGCATAAAGATGGGACTTCTCAACTATAAATTAAGGGACAACGATTAATCAGAATCAGGACTTAAATAATTTAGTCAGAAGTGACCTCACAATAGTGCCAAGAGTGATAAGCTGCTCATAACTACCCCTTAACCTAAACCTCCAAACCCCTCCACAATAAATATGCAAATGAATAGTACAGTTGTCTAAAAAACAGTTGTCTCAACAATAAGTTTACGCTAAAAAATGAATTTCAGTCAAGTCTCCTGATCAACTTTCTCGCTAGAGTTGCCACCTCCACCTACTTCCAATCAGAAATTCTGACTGTACCACTAGTGTGATAACTGTATCTGGTCACACAGCGACTTAATCAATTTTGTTTTTTGAGTCATTTGCATTTTCTAACCAAACACTTTCTGTTCTCACCTTCAATTGGGTCATGTATTCATTCACTCAACAAATATTTGCTAGACATTACCATGCATTAGACGTTATGTTTGATGTTAGGGACTAATGGGTAAAAAGCCATGATGTAAAGAAAACTTAACCTTTTAAGGCTCCCAGACCCCCTAAGAGAGGCAGTGATTCTTGATGATATTGAACCCAATGGGGAAAAAGTCTTTAAATCATATAAACATATGTGTACATCATCAATTTTGAACAATACATTCTGAAACATAAGCCAAAGTGTGAACAGGAAAAACATCCTTTGATTTTATTTTAATTATGAGTGTAATACATTCCTATTGCACAAAACCCAGTGCTGACTGGGTTTTCTATTCAGAAAGTGTCTTTTCTACTCCATCCTTGAGGAAACTTGGCATTATCATTTTTTATTTATGATCTGTGTCTCTGTTGTGGTAATATGGAAGTGGGATTAAAAATGATGAAGTCTCATTGTGGTGCTCTCTTTGACATCAACAGTTTCTGGAAGAAGCATTCACCAAACATGCCCCGACTGCCCCAGCCCCATTGACGTATCAGATCCCCAGGTTTTAGAAGCTGCCACTGAGTCTCTTGCAAAATACAACAATGAGAGCACCTCGAAGCAGTATTATCTGGTCAAAGTCACCAGGGCTTCTAGCCAGGTGAGAATGAACACCCCCATGGTGAGTGTGTGAGTCCTTTCATTTCAGTGGCCTTAAGGCAAGGAGGGAAATGGACTTCCAGTCTCTGGATTTTTCTACTTAGGGTCACTTTATTGCTACATTTCAGATCTGAGTGACCATGGACCATTTAGCAAGTCAGCTTCTGGACATGTGAGGCTTGGGAGTGGGTGCTGAGGGCAATGAAGTCACAGTTGTGTAGGCATTATGTTGCTGTCTATTAAAGTGAGGAAAGCTCATCTAAAAAATTTACCTGAGAAGAAATGAGGTCACCCAAGTGAAGGCTTTTAGAGCCCTCTCATGTCCTTTGAAGGGAAGGAAAGTGTGCTGGTTTTTTCCTACATGTCAGAGTCCATTTCATGCTTTGATGGTGGTGGGGTTACCACTGGGACACCAGGATCCCTGGACTAACCTCAATTTGCGATTGTACAGTCTGTTAATATCATGTTGTCAAATCATTTCCCCACATGGGAAGTCTGATTTTTATTTCTCAATTATTATCCAGTGGGTGTATGGGTTTTCCTACTTCGTGGAATATTTAATCAAAGAGGAACCTTGTACCAAATCCCAGGCCAGCTGCACACTTCAGTTTCCTAACTCAGAGGTGAGTATCTGAGTTTCATCAGAATTTAAGATTTTATTCACAGGTGAGATCTATATTTTATTTTAATTCTAAATTATACATAAGTTTTTAATAATAAGATGCTCTTGTTCACCTCAGGATGAACTGACGAATAGAGAATGTGCCGGCCCACCTGCACTGATAAGTTTTCATTTAATTACAGGTGCATCCCTTAGCAAAGTAAAAATGATCACAGAAAACTGTAACATGTAGATGAACCTCCTCAATGGCTGTCCTTAGCTGCACAAATTCAGTTCTATTTGGAATCCTTCTTGGTGTTTCTCTCCCTGGACTACTCCTTCAGAAGCAGCAAGTCAGAACAAGTCTTCATTGACAGAAGTCATCCCCAGTAAGAACGGAATCTTGAGGCCATTGGAAACACCTAGTAGGACTGTCATGGGCACCGGTGTTGTAGCAAAGTTGGGCAAAATGCATCAAACGTTCTATTCTGTTTTAGTCAAGATTATTTGGTGTATGATTGATCATTTGCATTTTCACCATAATGCTGGATTCAGCTTGGTAGTTTCATTCATCAAAAGACACCTTGAAACTTCATAGGATTATAAATTCATTTTTAGGTTCTTATTGCAGATGTACAGAAATACCCTTGTTCTCTGTAGAATGACCTTTATCCCTTAAATTTGCTGAATTCATCAATTAATGCTGGTCACTTTCTACTGGATTCCTCAGGATACCCTATAAAGGATTATGTCATCTACAAAGAAATAACTTCTTTTGTTTGCTTAAGGACTAATTGGGAAAATATCTTCACCATATTCTGCAGGATCTCTCTTTCTTTCCTGGCAATGACAACTTGGGATTTTTGATTATTTTCAGTAAGACTCATTTCACTTAGGTAACTAAGTTTCACTTTGAGGTATTTTTTGGAAGAATTCTGTTCAGTCAATTCTGAATCAAAACATGTCTCATGTTCAATGCAAACATTTTCTCTCTCTGTCCTTCAAGCCTGATGTAGATTTTAGGACTTTTGTGAGAAAGTGGAGAAGGATGATTCTTTCACATATCCTCCCCACCCTGGATCATTTCCTAATGTTTCCTTTTCCAATTTCCAAGAATAGTGTAGAAAAGATTACAAAAGTATTTTACATAACTGAACTTGCAATTGTAGAACTAAGGTCTTTGTTTTAAAATAATTTTCTAGTAATCACATCATTATTCAAAAAATCCTGAATTTCCCAGCACGAGAGGACACTTAGCCTAATATCTGTAATTGGTAGGGGTTATCTAGAGGTTTGCATGAGTCTGCCTATTACATAGTAGGAGCATAAAACATTGATTGTTGTGTTCTATGTAAGCAGGAAGTCTACTGAATAGTTTTATGATCACTATAGTTCTATTCACAGCACATCATAATTTTTCTTTTCTTTTTTTTTTTTTTTACAGCCTGTTGGTCTTTGCATAGGTTCGCTGAGCCGAAAATTAAGAAAAACTTTTGTCTCTGTGACTTGTAACCTCTTTGAATCACAGGTAATTAAAAAAAAATTATTGTCTTCCTGTGAAGGAAACTGCAGATTTCTTTTCATTTTAACTGCCCCTACCTCATCCTCCTCTTAATGTCCTAGAGCCTAAGACCACCACTTCATTCACGACACCCTAACACCAAACCCACAGGGGAGCTGCTGAGACCCACGAGACTGTGTTCAGGAACAGTGTTGTCCTGCAGAATAGTGACGCTCCTTCAGAGCGAAGAGCCTACTAGCTAGGATGACTCAGGCCTTTAACCTTAAATTCCATGTCCTAATCACTGTTATACAGAACCACTGGCTTAGTTGTTTCCATGGAAGGTGAGTCTCTGCCCAGAAGAATGTGTTTATCATTTACTGTGAGGCAGCCTAGTACAGTATGGGTGGTGGAGATCGGGCTCCTGGGTTTCAGTCCTGTGTGGCAGCTGCAAGCTGTGTGACCAGGGTGCAGACTGCCTGTCTGAGGCCTGGTTGTCTCACCTACCATGGGATTGCAATAGCTCCCTCATCCAGATCACTAAAAACTATCATTAGGGCCTGATGGAGGGCCTGGAAGAAAGGCCATCTCCAAGAGGTGACCACTGGCACCGTTTCTGGGAACAGAGGGCAGCTCACTGGGGACTGAGGGAGCCATTGGACCTCCTGGCCCATTGTCAGATCAGAATTAGCGTGACTGGCCATCAAGCTTCACTGCTTTGGTTCCTGTGTTCATGATTCAGACTTACTGTTACTTCTTTAAAGATGGACTCATCGTTACAGCTGATCTCCCTTTGAAACATTCCACCAGAAAGGCACAGAATAGCTTAGCCTGGTAACAGAAATGGCAGGTTTTCAAATGGGGGGTTGGTACAATGTCTCATTTGAAAGTATTCTTATTCAGGCTCCTGCTCCTGGCGGTGAAAACTCTGCTGTTAACCTGAGCGCTGTGCACCTGCCCAGGGTGGAAGAATCCCAGGACAAAAAGGCAGCGCCCACTGATACCTCATCCACAGCTGTGCCAAAAGGATTTGTCCAATACCTCTCTGACCCCGATAGGAAGTCCCAAGAGCCCCAGGAAAGTGACCCCGTGGAAGACTTCCCTGTGCATCTGGATCTAACCACGAATCCCCAGGGAGAGAACCTGGATATCTCCTTCCTCTTCATGGGGCCTGTGAGGGAGACCCTGCCGGTGCTGCCTTTCCCCTCCAAAGAACATTGCTCTTCTGAGTGCCCAGGACCAGCCGAAGAGCCCAACCCTGTTCTTCTTCCTCCATGAGAACCACATCAAGGGTCCTGTGGTCATGCGGTAGGAAAAGGGGAAAGAGAAAGTGCAAATGTAGAAAGTTGCTAATAAATATCTCTTTGACTCTTCTTGGTCTGGCATGTTGGCTGGATGTAGAAACAACGCAATCAGTTATCCACTGTGCCTGGGCCGCCTCCTAAACCTCCAAGGCCTGGGCCATGGGGAGATGGCTGTCTTGTCTGTCTCTCACTGATACTTTTACCCTTTCATCTATGAACATGTGCCCCTCTGTTACAGAAAGCATCAGTGACCTTCACTGATGTTTCAGAATTTGGAATTTATAGTGTCTGATTCTTGAAAAGAACAAGGAAGGAGCAGGGAGAGGGAAAGTGTGTATTTCCATGAAGAAAGTTGCACAGAGCTTGAGAAATTGTTCCATAGATTTCCTGAAAGTCACCTTCCTTATTTCAAAAATAAGATTAAAAAAATACACCTCTCTGAACATGGGTAGAAATGGGGTATTTGTAGTGATAGTATAATTTCTATTTATCTCCCTTCCCATGAGATGTCCTTCTGACATGTGAGTGATGATGTCTTATCAGAGAATTGTGCAGGGTTAGAGACTGAAGTGTCCTTTGACATTGGGCAGGAGGCCAGGCCCCACCACCACCCTGCTTCCTGTAAATGACACAACCACATCCTGAGAAATTTGGTGGCAGGCCTGAAACCATGCAGGCGACCCTGTTGGAACCCCAACCTTCCAGCCACTCTATGAGGGGGCGGTGTTTGCTGTTCTCTTTCTGGTGGACTTTGCAGAGTCAACACTCAGGGCAACAGCCTCTTACAGACTAACTACAGGGCAAGGCCAACAGTCGCCCCCACAGTTTGCTCTATTTCCTGAGCATGTGCGGTTGCTGGTCCCCTGGGTTTGCCTGGAGGCCAAGTCCTCAGGGAGGAAGGACTTTCACCCTTCTCCTGGTGCTGGCCTGGGAGCTCGACGCACCTGTGCTGTTGTGGAAAGGCCGTCCTCTCACCCAGGTGCTGGAGCTGCTGAGAGGACTCTCCCACAGCCTGTGACTTCAGCACAGGTAGAGATAATCCCTCGGATAGCCACGTTCATCATCCATGAAAACAGACACAGTGTCTATTTTATAAGACTGAATGAGAGGGAGAATCGAAGACCCTCACAGGTTGGGTGGGCAGCCACCAGCAGGAAAGTTGGTGTTTACCTACAGCAGACAACAGACAACAGACTAAAGCTGTGAATGAATATGGGGAAGGCATGGGGTTAGGGACAGAGTAATGTGACAAGATGGAATGGGCACCCCTAAGGCAGAGGAGAGTGAACATTTCAGGGTCGGTGGGAAGATATCCTCAATGCAGTACAGCACTTGTTATGGGCATTAGGGGAGAGGAAGAGAGAAAACTGAGGCTCCCTTCCCTCTGCCTTGCCCTGGAAGGGTGGGAGGGAGTGGTGTCATTTTATCATGCCTCCTCTAAACAGAGATTTTGTTTGAGACATTCTAAGGACAGACAATGTCCTAAATAGACTGAAAATAAGAGGATGAGTTAAATGGACCCGACAATCTGAGACACAAACAAATAACCATAAAATACATGTAATAAGACTGTAACACAGAATAGTCCAGGAAAAGGTGAAGCTTCTCAGTGGGAACAGAGGGAAGGATTTTTGAAGAGGAGAAATTTGATGTGGGTTGTAGAATAGCGTTCTGACATATTGGGGAGGGGAGAAGAAGATGTTCAGACAGGGAGAATCAAGGGGTGTCCCAGGGATAAGAAATGCCAAACATCTCAGATGAGATGTAGCATCTGAAATTGGTCGGAGTGTCGTGTGTACAGGAAATAGGACAGAGAAGGGGAAGGAGCAGACATTTCAAGATTTGAATGATTGTTACAATATCTATTTAGAATCATGTTTAAAGAACACATACACACATATATACACATACAATATATACACACATTTTCGAAGTGCATACATACACATATAAACACATATATAAATGCATTTTATACTATCTATACAGATTTATTTCATCACATACTGAATAAAGAAAGCTGAGGTTTTTAATCCACCCAATACATTGAAAAAGCAATTTTAACATTTCCATATCTGTGGTTATACATGGTTCTGAAAATGGATTTTCAACTCAGAATGAAAAACAGTTTGCAGGGAATGCCATGTAAATCAGTCCACCTGGCTAACTTGTCACATACTGGTGAAATGGGGGCAGGCTCTTATAAGGAACAGATGAAAACAGGGCCCCTGCAGCTGTTTGGGGGCATAACCATTCCGATGACCAGCACACTTGCCATCCCTGTTACAACGTGCCTTGCACAGCCTCTTCCTCAGGAAGAGTGGCAAAATCATGGGCATGTCTGAGAGACCAGGGCAGAGACTCTTCTTGGTGCATCTCTAGGTGCTTCCCTGATTGGCTGGACCACCTCAGCTCACTGCTGAGCGCTGCTGTGGCAGAGAGCCCAGGGAAATCTCTCTGCCGGTTCTCGGGGCTCCTGAGCCGAGTTTCAGAATCTGCATTTTAGAGCAGTGGTAACACTTTCCAAAGGTACCTTGCATTATTGTCGTCATCGTGGAGCAGCTATCAGGCTGGAAGTTGCCCATACCCAGGCCGTGTAGTAATTCCTCCACGAGCCTCTGGCTGCTGGTTTGCCCAGGACCCAGCAGCTTTCTGACTTTGCACCATCACTGTCACTGGCCTCTTCTGGACCTGGGCAGACACTGCACCTTCCAGGGAGCCAGACTCTAGAACAAGGAAGGGGTGGGCAGAGGGAGACAGTCGTAGTTCTGTGCAGAAAGCTGCTTGACCCAGTAAGTTTTCTGGAATTAGTTTCCTTATCTTGAAAATAAGAATGAGTAGAGCTCCCTCTGAGGGTTGGTGAAAGTGGGGTGTTTAAGAGGATGCCAGAGTTTCTATTTGCCTCCTTTCCCATAACATGTCCTCATACATGTTGTATGTGGTTACATCTTATAGAATCATAGACTGTTAGAGATCAGGGTATTTGCATTTGGCCTGGGCAGGCCAACCCCCACTTTCTTTAAATTATACAACCACATGCTGAAATGAGATAGCAAGCCTGAAACCACACAGCCAAGTGAGGGTTGAACTCAAAACTCCACATCAATTGTTTTCTCAGTGAGGGGTGTTGTATGCTGTTCTCCTTCACCATGGGTATTGTTGGCTCAGTGCTATTATCCACTATACAGGGAAAAGCCAATATATGCCCTCATAGTTTGATCTAACTCCTGCTCAAGCAACAGTCCCTCCCCTCAGGAGGGCTTTCATCAGAGGCCATGGCCGCAGGGTAAAGTTTGTTTTTCACCCTTATCAGAACTGGCCTGGCCTCAGAGGTGGATGCTCCCAATGACATCTCCCCTAGGGTTCATGAGAGACATTTAAAGAAATAAAAGAGATCTGAGTTCATTTGTATACTATTGCTTTAAAGTCATTAAAGAAGGTGCTATTAAAAATGCAGCAGTGGCCCTCCCTGGTGGCGCAGCGGGTTAAAGCACTGCACTGAGAATCTAAAGCCACTTCAGCATGAATTCGATTCCCGCCTACCCCGGAGGTGACCACATGGCGTGGCAGACCTCTCCTGACCCGCCCGCTGCTCCCCTCAGCAGTGTACTTCGTCGATCTGCCTGTTCTGCTCCCCACTCTGTCTCTGGTGAAGCCTCTCGCTGCCCCTGAGCCTCTGGCCTGTACCCCAGTTCTGTATGCACAAATAAATAAATCTTTAAAAAAAAATGCAGCAGAAAGAAGAAAATGTACAGGATAAGATCTCTGAGAGAATTGAAGTGATACAATCGCTGAAAACCAGGTCTGGGCCAATCCTCCAATGGAATGACTCACTGTGGGGTTGGGGCTCACAGGCAAGGAGGTGAAACCAGGAGAGCCCAGTGGATTAGATGACACGTACAGACTGAGGGACTGCCGGGCTCTGAGGCTGAAAACCAGGTTGAACCTGACCAAGGATTAGTGAGAGGTGAATGAAAAGGTGGTTAGGGAAAGCAAGAGCGGAGCAAGCTTTGCCATCCAGGAAAGAGACCATTGTTCCCTGCGGGTGTGACGCTGGGCACATGAGTGTGCAGAATCAGAGGAGTCAGAGAGGGGTCCACTCATGGGGAGACACTCAGATGGTGGGTGGACAGCCATCATCAAGGGACAGCAGAGGACAGACTAAGGCTGTGATTGAATGTGGAGGAGTCTCCAGGTGTCAGAGCAATAGAGACAGGTATGGGCATGGCAGCCCACTGACAGAGGAGAGTGAGCATTTCGGGGTCCGGAGTAAATATCCTCAGTGTGGTGCAAAGGGGCTGTTGTAACACCTCTGTGGCCCTGAGGGGGGCAGAGGACATTGAGCCCCCCTGCCTCCATGCTGCCCCTGGAGGGGTGGACAGGACAGTGGTATTCTTGTACCATGTTCATCTGAGAAGAGATTTTGTCTGAGACTGTCGAACAAGGCCATGTCCTGTGTGGGCTAAAGAATAAGTGCATCATTTGAATGGACCAGACAATCTGAGACACACCAGCAAATAGCTACAAAACACAATCTAAAAGGCTCAGTGCACAAAATAGTCCAGGAAAAGGTGAGGTTGTTTAGTGGGAACATAGGGGACACATTCTGAAGGAGAAGGGACTTGAGGTGGTGGGTCTTGGAATAGCGCTAGACAGACGGTCTTGGGGAGGGGAGAAGTGAGGTACAGACAGGAGGGGCATGAGGTGGCCCAGGGACAAGAAACACCAAACTGTTCAGATTGACATAGCAGCTGAAACTGATTAAGGCCCAGTATTTACGGAAATAGGGCAGAGCAGGGGAAGGAGCAGATTTGGTAAGAATATGGTGGCCATATAGGGGATCTTGACTTGTTTCATGATTTAGCGGTTTCTAAAGTTTTTGAATATCCATTCTATTACTTAAATACTTGAATATGCATCTTGTACACGTATGGCTATTTAATATGTATATTTACACCACTAAGATATAGACTA